AAAGGCTACTAGGTTTAAGTTCTACCAGAAAGAGCTGCTTGGTCACTTCATTGAATTTTTCTGAACTTTGAGTTCTTCACGTTTGAGAGGAAGAAAAGACTAATTTATTGTAAAATTTTTTATTTTTGGTAATGTTTACATAGTTGAGAGTGATACATGCCCATGTGGACCACTGAATAGGGTGGGGAAGGTTGAGGAGTAGGGCTAAGTGGATGAGGTGATTTGTTTCGGGATGAGGAATGGCCACATGATGTCATACCAGTGTCTCCGATGTGGAGTATATTCTGAGGCTGTTGCTTAAGTGGTTTTGATAATTCTGAAATGCTGTTGATTTTAATGCTCCAAAGATGAGGAAATCCTTCCAAGGTCCATTGGCTAACATAGTTCACACACTTACCCAGACACTTGCTATCAATGCTTGGCTGGGAGAGTTGTCCAATTTGTCCTGCCCTAACCCCTCCTTCATCCTCTACTGTGGTACTACATGTCCTCTGCAGTTTCCAGTGGATTGCCATATCCCCTATGTGCCTCAGGGCTTGCTGTCCCCTGCACTGTCTTTAGAAACTGGGAAGGTCTAATTTTGACTCATGTGCTGCATGGTCAGACCACAGATTCTGTGATTCTCCCTGTGACTGTAGTTCTGAGTCCAGTGGTTCAGTTGTGGTAGTCGTGGCGGTGGAGGGAGAGGTGTGGGGAGAGGGAATTTCCAAAGAAACCTCCTCTGAGGTGACCCCAGACCTGTCTCGTGTGCTTGACAGTACAGGGTGTCTGTCAAGTCACATCAGCCAGCACACATACTGGTAGTTTCCATTGCCCAGTGAGTTCTGTCTTCAACCCCATCTCTTATACAAGCCATTGGGGCTATGGCGTAGCTGAACCTTGCCTACCACATACTTGGCATTCAGTACACCAGCGGGAACTGCAGCCCAGTCAGGGCAACCCTCTGTAACTGCACCAGGTCCACCCCCAGCCTTGATTCTTGTGCATGTCGGTATGTGGGTGGGCTTTTTTCCACCCCAGTGGGTGCTGCAGCCTAACGCAACCCAACTGACCCCACATTTAGCCCACATTTATTCTGGTGAGTACTAATGCCTGTCCAGCTAGGTCTACCCCCAGTCCTAGTTCTCATGCTCACCAGTGGAAGTTGCAATGCATCAGAGGGGTGCCACAGTTTCCTTACTAAGCCCACTCTCAGCCTAGATCTTGCACTTTTTAGGTGATTCTGAGGTTTAGCTCAACAGGTCCTGCCTCCTGTCCTAGCACTTGAGAGCTGATGCTGTGGTAAAGCCTGAACAGCCTGCATTTAACTCTGACTCATGCATTTACCAGCTAATATAGTCACTTAGCCCAGCCTGACTCTCCCTCTGATCCAGCTCATGTGCAGGCCAACAGGTGTTGTGGTCTTGCCTAACCTGTTCTTCTCCCATTCCTAGTTCTCACATTCACCAGTTGCAGCAGTGACCCCTGCTGTCCCCTTACCAGGTTCACCCTCCCAAACCCCCTCTCTCACATGTGCTGGTGGGTACTGTGGACCAGTCTGGCATGGCCCACCCCATGTTGACATTTGCTGGCAGGTGCTGTAGCCCCTCTTGGCCCGGTCTGCTGCCATATCCAGGCCATGCTGGTGGATGCTGCAGCATATAGCCCAGCCTAGCCAGGCCCCAGTCCCAGCCCTAATGTGAACCGGCTGGTATTGTAGTGTGTGTTGTAACCTGGCCTAGGCTGGTCTGCGTGTAAACCTGATCCACGTGTTTGCATACTGGTGGGTATGGAAACCTGGTCTAGTCTAGGCTACTCCCAGTCTTGATTTTTGTGTTCATCTGCAGTGATTGTGTCCTGATAGAGGAGTTACCAAGCTCCTCTATCAGGTAACCGTCCAGTGGCAGATCTTGTGCATCTGTGGGTCCTTAGCCCAGCTTGATTAGGCCTGCCTCTTGTCCTGGTAGCATTCTGGCTCTTACTATTGGGTGCTACAGCACAGTCATACCTGGTCAACTCCCACACCCAGCTCTTGTGTGATTCATTGGGTGCCGGGACCTAACTCAGCCCCTCCTACACCCACCCTGGCACTCATGAGTACCAGTGGGTGCTGGAGCCCTTTCCAGTTTGGTATACACCAAGCCCAGTCCACACCCATGCCAAGGGATGCTGTAGCCATATCCAGCCCAGTTTTCCACCCCACTACTATTCCAGCTCTCGTGCTCAGCAGTAGGAACCACAACCCAGCTGGGGCATCCCCTTAGCTCCCCAATCAGTTCTGTTCTCAGCTACAGGTCATACATGTGCCGGTGGTTGCTCTTACCTAGCCTGGCATAGCCTATCCCCTTTTCAGCCTGTACCACCAGATGCTGCAGCCTGGCCTGGGGCCATTGCTGAGTTTCATGCAAAGCAGTACTTGTGATAGCCTTGCTCAACATAGCTCGCACTCTGGCCTGGCTTCTGCACATGCCAGTGTACTAAGGTTTGGCCTGTTCCTGCCCAGTCTATCTCTCTATCCTCCAGAACCAAACCACACATTTGCCGACAAGTGAAGTAGTCTTGCCCTGCCCAGTTTGACCAACCTCCAGCACTGATTCATGTGTTTACCTGCAGAAGCTACAACCTACCAGGTGAATTCCCCACATTTCCCCACCAGGCTCACTCCCAGACCCAGATCTCACATGTGCCAGTGAGTGCTAAGTCCTTACTGACATAGTCTACCCCATCTGTTTTGGCCTTTGTATGTGCTAGTGGATGTTGCAGTTCTGCTCTGTCCCACACTCTGTTCCTGTGTGTCTGCAGGTTCTGCAGCCTGGACCAGCCTGGCCTGTTCCCAGCCTTAGTGCCATCAGTGTTGTGGGGTTCATTGGTTATGCCTAACTCAACCTGGCACCCACCCAGCTCTATATTTTTTCCACCCCAACTCTAAAACAAACCAATGGATATTGCAGTTTCATAGGGGTGATCCCACATATCTGCCACAGAATCTGCCAGTAGTCACATGTTGGTTATTGTCATGGCCCAGCTTAGTGTTATCTCTCTCCTGTTTTGACACTTAACTGGTGGGTACTCTGACCTAGCCCTGCCAGGTAGGCTACCAACTCTAACTTTAGTGTGTGCCAGTGGGTGGTGGCAGTGGTGGTTGATGCTAGCTACCCCCAGCTCACTTCTCCCACTTGGGCTGGTGCATCAGTATGACCCAGAAAGGTCCTCCAGCTTCCCTTCTCTAAACTGCTTAGCTCAAGCTCCCTCACCTACTTGTAAATACAGTGGCCTTGTCAGTATAAGTCCCTCAGAAGTCATTCCTCACCTGCAACATACTCCCTCAGGAATCCATTTTTTTTTTTGTTTCCAAAGTTTATTAAAAATCAAAGAATAGAAAAACTTTACATAAAAATATGTCAATTTTAGCTTCCACATTGCTGTCCACACACAAACAAAATTGAAACATGATATTTTTTTGTTGAACCTGTAGCGTGTGACCACAGTGGCAGCCAGGCCAATTCATCTGGTTCGCCATGACGGACACAAACATGGAAGTGGCTCTATGAATGGAGCTTTAAAATGTGCAACCCATGGGACACTCGCTGCCGTCGCCGCAGTGGCGTCCTTAATGTGCGTTACAGTCAATATTGCTAACATGGGGAGATTAGTACAGGCCTACGGGTCAGTTTGTATAAATACTCCTTATCGATAGGTTCACAATTTAAATATTTTTAAATATTCTGGATAACTCTTGATCCCTCTGCCGACGGCCTCCAGGGCGCCTGCAGCAGCAGTGGGCGGCTCCTGGAGAAGGCACAGCAGACACCGCAGAATCCCCTCTCCCACACATCCCATGCCCCACTCCCTGATCAATCCACAGTCCCCATGCCCATGAGCACACAGATTCCCTTGACCAGTCTACTGGCAGCATGGCATGCTAGCTGGAGCTCTGTCTTCCCATCTGGGATCACATTGCCAGTCCTCTGGCATGTTTGCTGGCCTGGGATGCTAACCCTCTGCCTAGCTAGGTTAATGCATTCCCAAGCCCAGTCCAGCAGCACACCATGCCAGCAAGGCAGCATGCCAGCCTGGGGTCCTAGCACTACCTCCCTCTTCTGTTTGCTTTGGACCCAAAATGTACTTGAGTTCTGAGGCTCACTCTGCTCCACTAGCCCCCAGCTTGAGTCCACATGTCCCCTGAGGCTGTGTAGGTGTAGCTGCTGCAGTGGAAGCAAGGCATCAAAATTTTATTAAGGTCTGAAAAGTTATACTGTCTGTGCCATAGTGGAAAGAATATAGCCCTGTTTAATAGTGAAAATAAAGTACTACTACAAATATAACAAAATATAGTAAGGTTTATGTTTTTACTTCAAAGTGTTTGGGCCCTTTCTGTCTCTATTGCTTCTCACAAAGTGTCTGTCCTGATTGTGGCACATTAAATGTTCAAGGGAACACCTAACAGAATGTTAGTAAAACTTTATAGTAACAAGAACTAAAAGAAAATTATTACTTGGATCAGGTCAATTAATTCAGGGCCATCATTTGTGTGTATTCTGTTTCACCTATAAGATCTGTCATCACTATACATGGAATCTGAGTGATGTTCCTTTGCTTGGTTTTAGTACTAGTGTTTTGCCAGTTACAAAGAGGTAATTACTTAAGGACATTTATGTTAAAGAGAACCAGACTTCTTTAATTGGTTTGTGTTGATCTGTTTTAAAATAACTTCTAGTAAAAGAAATTATTTCCAAAAGAAAATTTGGTTGGAATTCTAAGCACCCCAAGCATCCATTGACATAATTAAAGACATTATTATTGTAGGATGATCTATCCTGTAACTTATAAAAGTACTTCTAGAAAGAAAGAAAATTGTGTTTATCCAATATTTAAATGTTAGTGTGTTGATTTCTATGGTGGTGTAGTTCTAAGAATTTACTTGTGCTAGTGTAACTGTGATTGAAAATTCAACTTCTCTTAGAATAAAGCTCTTGCTGAAAGCTTCTGTGTAATACACTATTTGTTGTTCTGTGTGACAGGATACCCAGAATTATGTTGACAAATGTGCTGACAACGGAGTTAGGAAGAAAATACATAAAGATCCCACCTGTAACTGAGGCCAGTTGGTGTGATGCAGACAACTTTCAAACGCAGCAGCTTTCTTCATCATCTGATGACAACATACGCTGTTTTCAAAATCTAAATCCTTCCAAGAACTCTTATTTATCTGAAAGGTATGTTTAGTGATTACTTCACTCATGAAACCTTTCTCATTCTTTCTCTGCAGGTATGTTATTGCTAAGCATGAGGTAAATGTGTTCTGATGGATGGTGTGACATTTTCCCTCTGTTGATTGCAATGACCAGAGAAAAGTCTATGGCTGATCATCAGTTTCAGAAGTATTGGTCACCACACTTGAATTTTTAAAAAAGCTGATACAGATACTTAGTGGAAATTTCAATTATTAGTATGATATAGTTGAACTCCATTCTCCTGATAAGTCTATTTCTTCCTGATTCTTCATCCTGTCCATCCATTTGTTGTCTGTGCATCCATTTATCGACATATTTATTTTTCCAATCTTGTTTAACATTTAAAGTTCCTTTAATTTAAAAACTTTTTATTACTATAAAGAACAAATTTTAGGTATTTCATAGGTAAAATTCTAATAAGATAATCATATATTCCTCCCATCCTATCTCCTTCCCTTAATGTCCCTTTTTACTAAAAGTTTTTTGTAGCTATTGTAGGTTAACTTGGACTTATAAGTTCTTTCTGAGTCATAGAATTGTTTGTGTATACAAAGGCTATCTATTTTTGTGTGTTGATTTTAAATTCTGCAATTTTATCAAGCTGTTTTGTGAGATTTAATAATCTTCTAAGTGGAATCTTTTATTTTTCCTGTATATAAGACCATGGAATCTACAAACAGGGCTAATTTGATTTTCTACTTTTCAGTTTGTATTAGTTTTGTTTTCTTTCTTAATGACTCTGGCTAAAACTTCCAGAACTGTAATGAAAAGTGATGGTGAAAGTGTCCTTGCCTGCTCTGGATCTTACTGGATATACTTTTTACTTTTCCCCACTGGCTGTAATGAGCACTGTGGATTTGTCATGTATTGTTTTGATTGTATTGTGGAATGTTTCTTTTCTTTATGATTTATCTTTATTTGAAAGGAAAGATCTATGTATTATTTTTATTGGAAAGTCAGATTTACTGAGAGAAGAAGAGAAAGAAAAATCTTCCATCTACTGGTTCACTCCTAAATTGGCTGCAATTGCCCGTGCAGGGATCTGGGAACCCTGGCCTGGCAGCTGTGCCTGACATCTTACTGCCCTGAGCATGAGGCCCGGCTGTACTGCTCTCCAGCCAGCCTCATCCTGGATGTCTGGGACAGCCAGTGCAGGCTCAGGTCCAGGGGCCCCTGTGCACATGCGAGACCCAGGTGGAGCTCCTGGCTTTGACTTGCCCAGGCCCATGGCTGCAGGCATCCTGCTCCTTTCTCAGGCCACAAGCAGGGAGCTGAATGGGAAGTGGAGAGGCCTGGACAGAAACCAGTTTCTGTATGGGTGCCCATGTTGAAGCGGCAGCTCTGTCTGCCTCAATGTGAGCTTCAAACCCTTAGCCTCTGAAACCACTCAGAGTGATTGCTGAAAGACTTGGTCACACCTTATCACATGTCTGTCACACAGTCAGAGTTCTCTCAGTCAGTGGGTGCAGATCTTCCACAGATATAGGGGGCGGAAGATCCACTCTCGTCCCTTCAAGCCTTTCCCATCTGTAAGTGTTATGGCATTCCTGTGCCAGGTGCCTAACCAATAAAGGTTGGTTGGTACTGGGACAGGTTGAGTGTGGCCATCTTAATAGAGTGAGTAGGGAAAATACTTCATGGACCTAAGTAGGTATCCTGCCACCTTTCAACTCTACAGGTCACACTCAAAGTCAGTGGAGACCGTAGATTTATCGTGCTGATAAAATCCCCCAGTTGTGCACAGGCTGTAGAAGCCTTTACTCATCTTACTGAGTTGGTGTTTTTTCCCTGCTGATTTCTGGGTACTTTGTTCCAAAAAGTTGGCATGCCCTTCAATCACCAGCTGCAGGAATAGTTGGTAGGCCTACTGCTATATGATTGAACTGTCTGCCCCCTATTCTACAATGTCTTTCTTCTTTTTTGTAGAGCACACACCCACAGAACAGTCTTCCATTTGTTTGTTTACTCCCCAAATGGCCTGCACGTCCAGGCTAGCTTGGGCCAGAACCAAGGATCAGGAATTCTGGCTCGGCCTCCCACTTGGGTGGCAGATGCTCTTGCTCATGAACTATAGTGTCCAACTTCCTGGGTACATTAGTAGGAAGTTGCAATCAAAGTGGAGCAACTCAGTCTTTAACTGATAGAACTATATAGGGTGCTGGTGTCACTGTAAGTCTTGATATTACTGTTTTTGTTCTGTTACTGTGAAGGATGCATTTAGCATGCTAATTCTTGGAAGAAAGATTGTGAATTAAAGAATGAAGATTAAGACTGTGGAAACAGGTTTCTTCTGAAACTTGATGCTTCTGCGCTTGATGTGTTTGGAAATATGTCAGATGAAGGACTAAAAGCCTTACTTCAGCCATTGGCTATTTGGAATGATTTTTAATCAGTATAATAAACAACTTGAGTAGAATTAATGCAGGAAAAAACCCATCAATGGTGAACAAAAACTTTAAATTAGGATGCTCTCCCGTATTTGTTTGTTCTACATGAGAAGTTTTGTTATCTTAACATGGAGATACTTAATTATTCAACTTTAGATTACTGCTGTAGCTCTTTTTAACTAACGCTTATTGACTCTTTAGGGCCACACTGTGAAATATGTTGTGCTTGTATCAACTGTTTTCTACAGCTTGAATTGCACCTAGGGAGTTTGATTATCTTCTCAACATCTTAGTTTACTTGTAAGCTGGGATAATAATATTATGGATAAATAAATAAGGAAATATCTTTAAGAAACTTAAAAAGAATTTCAGTGTTTACTACTTCCTCTTTGGAATTGTCGCTAGATATTTTAAGATTTTATTTTTATTTGAAAGACAGATTAAAGAAAGAGAGAGAGGAATTTTCCATACTTTGGTTCACTTTCTCATGGCTGCAGCAGCTGAAACTGAACTAATCTGAAGTCAGGATCCAGGTTTTACTTCTGGGTCTCTCACATGGGTGCAGTGGCCCAAGGACTTGAGCTATGCTCTGCTAATTTCTCAGGCCATAATCAAGGAGCGGAATCAGAAGTGCAGCAGCCAGGACATGAGCTGGATGCTAGCACCACAGGTCGAGGCTTAGCCTACTATGCCTTGGTACTGGCACTGTTGCTAGATTGTTTATTTATGTATTTATTTATTTTTAAGTTATTTATTTATTGGAAAGGCAGTTATACAGAGAGGAGGAGAGACAGAGAGGAAGATCTTCCGTCTGCGGTTCACTCCTCAAGTAACCGCAACGGCTGGAGCTGCGCCGATCCAAAGCCAAGAGCTTGCTCGGGGTCTCCCACACAGGTGCAAGTTCCCAAGATTTTGGGCTGTCTTCGACTGCTTTCCCAGACCACAGGCAGGGAACTGGATGGGAAGCGGGGCCACCAAGATTAGAATCAGTTCCCATATGGGATCCCAGAGCATTCAAGGGGAGGACTTTAGCTGCTACGCTATCGTGCCAGGTCCTGTTGCTAGATTTTTATTTGCCAAATTTTCCTTAACTCACTTTTAAAAATAATCTAATTGTTTTAAAATTTGTAAATAACAGAAAATATTTTTCCTATTTAATTTCTCAGGGATACTGTTAGTATTTTTAGGTAAAATATGTATGAAACATAAACTATGATCTCTATATTAATAAAAATTCTGAAAAGTGCAATACTAGGAAGATTAATTCATATTGATATGGAAATTATGAAATTAAAAGAGTGAAGCTCATTTTGGATAATTACTACACTGTTATGTCATTATAAAGTAAGCATTTATTATGTAAATATGTTCATAAATATATACATATACCACCTAAAAATCATTAACAGTATTATTGAGAAATGAAATTAACACAAAATATATTCTCCACTATGTAATCATTTTAAAACTCTTAGGCAGACTTCAACCTGGTACTTCTACTCAGCAAAGCAGCTGATCTCATTTATCTGAATCAGTTCCGACTACCCTCATAGAACACCTTGCAGACCTGTGTAACTGTAAAGTTGCACAGAGGTACCAGTGGAACAGAAATCATACACTGTGGCCAGGCCTGATCTGGAAAGGTTTCAGTGTTCTTTCAGCAGCTCAATCTGATTAGAGACCTTAACCTACGATCTTACTAGATAGCAGAGCCTAGCTAACTGCCCTATCCAAACTCAGAACAAAGGGGGCAGTCACACCTCTCTTAAGTTTCTTATATGAGTTTTTTCTTTCTTTTTCTATGCAGTTACATCTTGTTTAGCAGTAACAGTCATAAATTGATAAAAGTTTTTTTAGAGGAGAATATTAAGCCACAGTTTAAACTTTGCAGTATATAGTGATTAAGCATGGTTTTACAGAACTTTGCATTTTAACAATTGAAGAATAGAAAAGTTTTAGGCAGGTGAGCAGGGAAATTCCCAACAACCCAGTGAGTGAGGAAGAATTTAACTCTAAATCCTACCTAGTAAAGACTAGGAGAAGCAAATAGGGAGCCTGACCAGTAAGTACAGGCTGAGCGATTATAGGCTAGTTGACCTTTTCTCCGGCTGTTCCAGACTTTCTGTATCAGTGTCTCTATCTATGTGAAAAGCCTGATGGGAATCTTGATCAGTAAGGTACAAGCTGCGTGATTATCAACTAGCTGACCTTTATTAGTCTCTGTCTGAACTAATTTTGGGGCTCACAAGCAACACTGATGGTCGGCGTTAAGAGAGGGCTGGGAGCCAAGGCTGAAACTAGATAAGGACCAGAGAAAGCTCCTCTCCTGAGTCCAGAAGGAAATTTATAGTCCTTTTATCTCTGAGTGCCACCTGGGGCTCCTAGCTGTAGATCTGATTTCATCAGACCCTATGAGAGTTTTTTTTTTTTAATTTGTCTTTGCTTAACTTGCATTGGTCATTTATTTCTTACCGATTTATAAAAACTTTTATTAATGTGTATTTAAAGCACTTGATATATTATAATACATAAAACTTATTAATGTACATTATAAAATCTTGTCAATATTATAATGCAAAATAGTATTACAAGTTT